ATGGTTTAACCAGTGATGTGCTTCAGTTAAATCTTAAAGACATCCATCAAGCTAGGCAATGATTTGCTAATTTTGAGTGTTAAAATATTCTCCCAAAGGGTCATCATCATATAATCTTCACTGGTTTTTATTGTGGCTTATAGAATTTCTCACATTACTTTATAGAAGCTAAAGAATCCTATTTAAAGTAATAATTATAAATTTTATGTAAGAAAGTCAGGATAAGCTAAAAATTCTAGGATAAAATTGTCAGGTTTCAAATTCCAGCTTTCTCCACTAGCTATATGACCTTGGGAAGTAAATCTCCTGTTTGCTCATTCATGAAGTAGGGATATCAATACTATCTCATAATATTTTTCTGAAAATAAAACATGAAAAACATCTATAAAATGCTGATACTCATACCTGCTCAAAAATGTTTTCAATTATAACAACACTGATTTATTACTCTTTCTTCTCTTTAACTACTAACACTGCTTCTTTTAAAATGTCCTACCAAGGTTGCTTTAAGCAGATTTTTTAAACTAAAGGTAAATCTATAAAGATAAGAATAATCAATAACTTAGCTCACCATTAGAAACTTTTCTGTTCTTTCCTTACCTTCAAAACCAAGTACCAAATGTACTAAAAGACTAACTGTAACGTTTCTGAATGAGAAAGACACAATGCTGGTTCGTGGCTGGCCAGCAGTAATAATCATCACCGATGTATCAAGTACATACAGTATTCCTCCCTTATCCAAGAGGGATTATGTTCCAAGACCCCTAAGTGGATGCCTGAGACCTCAGATAATAACAAACCCTATCCATTACTATGTTTTTTTCCTATACATGCTTACTTATGAGAAAGTTTAATTTATAAGTTAGGGACAATAAGAAATCAACCACAATAACTAAAATAAAATAGAATGATTATAACAATATATTGTAATAAAAGTTATGTGGACATGATCTCTTTCAAAATATATTAAGTAAAGAATTTATATATTGCATATAAATTATCATATAAATTATTATATATAATTTCCCATTTAATATTTTCAGACTGTGGCTGACTACAGTTAACTAAACCTAGAAAGCGAAACCATGGATAAGGTGGGACTACTGTATTAAAAATAGAAGCAAGAAAATGAAATTAGTCAGTCAGAGAAAGACAAGTATCACATGATCTCACTCATAAGTGGAATCTATGTAAGAAAATAAACTGATGAATGGAGTAGATCCAGAGATATGGAAGCACAGAATAGAGTGTGAAATCTTGAAGGGAAGGCGGGGGAAGGTGGGTGGGTGGGAGGTAATCAACTAAGGACCTTGTATACATATATGAATGGCCCATGGACACAGACAATGGGGCGGTGAGGGTCTGGGGCGGGCTGGAGGAGGTCAATGGGGGAAAATAGGGGGCACATATAATACTTTCAACAATAAAAAATTATTTTTAAAAAAAGAAGAGAAAAAAGTCTATTTTTCAATAGTTATTATAAATAAAAGTACCTGAAAATCACATTTTCAGTTCAAATAATCAAAAATATAGATCCTTTAACACAACATCAGGTTTTATTTATATCTGGAAGCAGAAATCATTATCTGTAGTCAATCCATAAAGAAAATGTCTACCTTTTCATTCAAGTATACGTTTATAATTAGTGTATTATACCCTTGTTATACCTTTTATTATACCTTTTATAACCTTGATTTTTATTAAAACAGCAAATAAAAGAGACATGAATCTCCTTTATGTAACCTGAAATAAAATCTTAGCAACAAGGCAATAAGTTTAATAGGCAACATTTCTATTGGAGAATGCCTTTTATCTGAGTGCTAATGCAAACAAGACTATCCTCTGTCACTACATTAATCGGGCCCAACTGATCTATCAATTCGATCTTTTGTTTTTTCTAACTACCTGTTAATTCTTAATAGAAAACAACCTGATGAGTTAACTTTTTCTAATAAAAGTGGCATTTATACAAGGTGGGGCAAATAAACAGTTTATTATTGTATTATTATTTATTAGTCATTGTATTATTTTCCATATGAACAATTATAAACCTACTTTTGCCCCATCCTGTATATTATAAAGATTATAATAAAAAATGTTTTTCTGTACTACCATTTTCAAGTTTTAGGGGACTCCTGGAATAATTACAGTATAGTCAAGAATCAATTAAGAGCAGGCCAAGAACCATCTGATTAAACATGAATTTCTATCCTCCTAATGTAATAAAAAATAGAATTCTAGGATAGAAGAGAAATCATGAAAGCAGAGTTTACTGGTAGAAAGAAGCACAAAAACAAATAGTAGGAAATCAGAGAGACAGATCCTAGAAGCAAGAAGTTGGGAAAGTCCTAGCCGGTGTGGCTCAGTTGGTTGAGCACCTCTGCACAGAGGGGTCACTGATTCAATTCCCAGTCAGGGCACAGGCCCAACTTGTAGGCTCAGTACCCAGTAGGGGGCATGCAAAAGGCAGCCACATCAGTGTTCATCTCTCTCCCTCCTCCTTTCTTTCTTTCCAAAAATTAATATAATTATATTTTAAAAAGAAAAAAAATGCCCAGTTCTGCAGCCATATATCCAAAATTCTGCATGTTCGGATGAACTAGGTATGATTTTTGTCACATGTTTGATTTTCATTTTCATAATTATTTCGATAATGATACTTTTAGTTTATTGGGTATATATCAATAGATTAATAGATACTAAACAAGAAAAGAATCCAACAGATTATTTTTAATGTTAAATATTTTTTTAAATCGTCTCCAATAAGATATCATACATTTCACATGTAAAAAAGTTATTGGCTTAACTACCTTACTAACACAGACCCAAGGAAAAGAAATAAATCAGGCCTAATGGCAATTCAGAAATATTCCATAAAGTCAGTAAGACACTGCTACTATTGCGGGCTCGGTCCAATGTGCAAGAGGCAGCCAATCAATGGTTCCCTCTCATCATTAATGTTTTTATCTCTTCCTCTCCCTTCTTCTCTGAAAATATATATTTTTTAAAATGTTTAAAAAAAAACAAGTATTTCCATTTGTGAACTATAAAACATAATTATGCATTATACTATATCAAAGAGGTAATGGGTAGTAAAAGAAATTTTAAAAAGTAGTTAATTTTCCCCTAAGTCACTGTAATATTTCATATTTTCTTTTTAAATTTTCCAATCTTAAATGTATAATTCATACTAGGATGTATCATATTGGTGTTTAGTTCTTATTTAACCAGTTAAGATCCATCATGTAATCTAATTCATGCTGCTGAAAACATCTTTAATTTTTAACCCATTTTTATTATTTGATTTTTCCAATTTACTTATTTTTCTTGTTTTATCTGATTTTCTACATGGTATCTTACATCTCTATATTTCTAGAATGACCTCTTACTTAATCTTATTTGCATACTTCCACTTAGTTTAATTTTTATCTTTTTTTATATGACAAACAATACATGCCATAATAAATATTTTTCAATACAGAAGGTGTAAGAAATGGTACCTTCTTCTCTGTAGTTGAACTTTTTGTCTAGGCACTCCAAAGAAGAATCCTAGCCTTCAAATCTGAACACCATAACTGTAAATCATCTTTTTTAAAAAATATGTACAAACTATCTTCTTTAAAGGTAGGTAAAATGCAAAAATAGAATAGATATTTCTATCTATTCCTCTCCCTTCCTCTCTCCCTAAAAATCAATAAAAAACATATTTTAAAAAAAATAGCTAGACTTTCCCTTTCCCACTGTCAGGCAATCACCAAATTAAATTTAAAAAGCAGAAGCATGATTATGCATGGTGACCTAGTTAACTAGACATTGTGGTGATCATTTCCCAACATATACAAATATCTAATCATTACATTGTACATCTTAAACCAATTCAATGTTATATATCAAACCATACCTCAATTAAAAAAAATATTAATTTCCTATCTTTAAGGAAAAAAAGGTAATAGCAAGAAAGATCAGCATTGCCCTGGCTGGTTTGGCTCAGTGGATAGAGCATACGCCTACAAACTGAAGGGTCCCAGGTTCGATTTTCATACTAATATTTATCTATGGGCTTCTTATAAGTATAATCAACAATTTGAGAACCTTTTATATGCAATAAGCATTTTCGTACACATTAGCTCACTAAATTTAAGTGATTATGTACATTTTTATGGATAGACTATTAAAGTTTTTAGAGGTAAAATTACTTGCCAAGGTCACAGAGCTAATCAATAGTCAAAACTGGTATTCAAATTTAAGCTCAATTACAAAACTCACATTTTTCTCCATTATACCAGATTACCATTTAGAAAGCAAACACCTACACTTAAGTCAAACTTAAATATTTAAGGCCTTTTTTAAGTGGGCTACAAAATGTTTAAGAATCTGACCCCTACCCGCAAAGGGCACGGGTTACATATATATTGTATAATGGCAGCTTGGCTTTAAGTAAAGAGCACCAACTAAAATACAAAAAGCATGGTTTCTGCTACTGTATGACTCTCCCCCGCCTCCCCACCAAGTCTCTTCATTTCAGCCTTAGGTTACTCATCTGACATCAATGCTTTTGTAATAAATAATTAATATATCATTTTGAAATACTTAGCATATAAAAGTTGAGAATTTTCAAACTAAATATGTGTTTGGTGTCACTCTTAGTTATATTCATGATCTTGTTTGAGCTTTTTCATATTCAGTTTGTTTGTAAAAAGCTATTTATTAATATCCGGAATTCTAAGGTAGATCACCCAACACATAATTTTTAATGATTTTGGGGGGGGATAAAGAGGAGTTCGAGGCTTCTCAAAGCAGATACAACAGCTAACAATCACATCAAACACAGAAACAAAATCCACTGAAACATTCAGCTGCTCTAAAAGAAGGATCAGGCTCTTTAAGAGAAAACTACATTGTATGAGTTTGCAAAGTTTCACACTTTCTCATTTAAACTCCGTTTCAGAGAAAGCCTTTGCATACTCGCACAATATGCTTTAAAAAGGCATTCTGCTGACCTTCCAATAGTCCAGCTCTATGAAAATTCTGGGATGGGTGTAACTTCAGAGAATCTGAAAAACACAAAAAGCATTAAGTACTTTTTATGCTGAATGATTTTAAAAAAAAAGCCAAGGATAGCATACATCTCTTATATAACTGCCATGTACTTTTAAGAACTAAAGCCCGTATTTGTGAACTTATTGCTTATGAAAGGCTGAATTATCTCTATAATGGTCTCTATGCTAAACTTAGATTTTCATAAAACATGTTTCATAGAAAATTATCTGATTACTGCACAAATGGTGCTAATGTCTTGACTGTATTCAGTACCCAATTGTACCACATGTGCCCTCCTCTAAGCATCATCATCTCTTGGTAACACCTTCTGACACTCAGAGCTACACTTTTCAAACTACTTCAGGTAACACTGCCCACAAAACATCTTACAGGATGGTAACTGCCAACTCAAGTCATCGCAGCAACAGACAATGGTTCCAGTTACTAAGTAGGACTTTGTGTACAAAGTCAATCGTCAGTCTCTCAAGTCCAGTGCCTTCCGGGGCACCCCACCTCTCTCCGCTTCCCTTAAACAAGGTAAACACCCCAATGCGCAGCTCAGGCCCCGCTCCCTGCAAGAGGTGAAGCCAGCAGATGGATACACCAGACCGACTGAAGTGGGAGAAACACAGAATTTCTCAGGAAGGGGGTTCATAACGGCACGCAATTATTTTTTAAATATGGTGAAATCCATAGTGAACCACCTCGTTATGTCTTTTGCCCCCTCCCAGTGGTTTCAAAGGGGGTGAAGAGAGCAGGGGGAGCATTTTGGTTTGATGCCTCCTGTACAGGGAACCTGTTCTAACACATTCTTGCGGTGCCCAGTGTAGGAATTTAACCCCAGCCGAGATCAGCTACAGTATGAATAGCTTTCAGCGGTTCGCAACCTTCCTCATGCCGCGACCCTTTAACACAGCTCCTCATGTGGTGGTGACCCCCAACCATAAGACTATTTTCGTTGCTACTTCGTAACTGTAATGTTGCTACTGTTACGAATCGTCATGTAAAGATCTGATATGCAGGATGTATCTTCAGGGGTCGCGACCTACAGGTTGAGAACCGCTGTCTGTGAACCCCCCCCCCCTTTCAGGCTTTAGCCAGAAGAGTTTTTAAATGGAAATGTCAGTCCAATGGCCCCCCTTCCGGCCCCGCACCGAGCCCTTGAACGGCAACGAAATAGAAAATTCTCAAAGGACAGCAGCGCCTATGCCCGAGCTGTGGCACCTCTGGGACAGGAGGGAGAGGAATCAAACTAATAGAGAGAGAGAAAGAGAGGGGGAACCCCTATTTGTGCAAACGGAGAGGAGAAGTCAGTCATGAGAAGGCCACAGAGGCAGGGAGCGAGAGAGGAGACCGACAAGCCGGGCCCCTTCCAGCGAGATGACGAGGAAAGGCAGGACGCCTGGTCGAGGGGGGCCGTCCCAGCGAGGGGAGGGAGCGGACTAGGCCGGAGGGAGAGGGGGCCAGACGGCGAGGCACAAACAACCTGGAGGGGGAGGAAAATGGTGTCCCT